TACAATCGTCGTCATTAGCAGGCGCGAGGTCGCACGCGGCGCCCACTGGCGCGGCGAATCACGATTCTCTTGCCACATACCCACCGCAAGAGATCGACCAGAGCTGAGAGGAAGCAGGTAAGTAGCGCGTTTAGCTACGGTTAGGCCTGTGGCTGGCAGTGCGGCAGCACGGTATGGAGGGGTACGTATTACCACTACCAATCAGCCTCGTTCCTGAGGGAAGAAAGTGACCTGCTGGTGCAGCTCTGGACCTGTTTTCCATAAACGCCAAGGTGGGACCTGCGGAGAGTGTACAGTTTCTCTCTGAGGTGTTCTGAAGGCAGAGGCCAGGGGTTGCTGCCAGCTCATCGGTGGAAGGGCGGAAGGAAGAAGTGCTGTCAAAATACCCAACAATTTGTGTGACCAGCGCTCTCCCACCATGAAGCTGGCGTCAACAGCGAGCGTGCCATGCTTTTGAGTACTAATTAATGTTAAGCGACTGATATTTCCTTTCCGCCCTTGAAGACAGTGGGCACGATTTCTTGAAGGGGGTGTTTGTTGTCAGTGCTATTGGTGGAAGGGCTGCGAGAGTGTGTTTGTTCACGCTATATTCAGCTTCCACCAATAACACTGGCGACAACCGCCCGCCCCAGCGATCGTGCCCACTTCTTGTGCTTCCTTTTACGATACGTAGATGCACGTTGATGTGGAATCCTTATAGAAGCCTTCGAACCCCGTGATATCGAAGCAGATGTATCGATGGACGAAGCACCGCCGCACTCTTCGGCTGCAACTGTCGCGTCTTCGCTGCCTGAAGCAGAGGTTGATGAGGAGCGGATGATAACACCGCCGCTTCCTGTTGTCTCAAATGTCCACCATGAAGGAGAAGATGCGAGAGATGCAAGTGACAGGTCCGTCATTTTTATTGATGCTTGTTTTTGGAAGTTTTTTTTTCGGTTTCTAGTAGCGGATGCATATTCCAGATCTGATAACTCTGGTCACACCGAAACGACAACTGATGAACCGTTGGCAAATGGTAGTGCAGCTAGACCTGCTACCGAAACTAACACTATTCCAGAAGAAATCCGTGAAATACTTGGTGGTTAGTTCTTGGTCATGTTCTTGGTTTTTACTGGTACATTCCGTGACATTATGGGCTAATTTGCAGACATTGAAATACCTGATGGTGTTGATCCAGCTTTCCTTGCTGCTTTGCCAGAGGATATGCGTGCTGAAGTAATTCGTGATCATCGTCGACAGCAACGAGCACAACGCGCTGCTCAAGTTCCCGCAACTGTTCCTCCGCAGGTGTGTTGGGTTAATTAGGGTCTCTTTGTTCTCGCGCTGAACGCAGCTGTGCTGACACGCCCCATTGTACGCAGCGAACGAGATTCTTTTTGAAATTCAAACACTCGGATTGTATTTCAGGGCGAAAGCGGTGGAGAAGGTGCATCAAGCGTTGTTCCAGTTGTGGAGCCTCTCGATCAAGAGTTCCTTGCTGCATTACCTCCTGAGTTGCAAGAGGTATGTTCGCTAAGATTGCATAATGCACTCAAAAAAACCTTGCTGTCGATTCAGGAGATTCTGGCTCAGCATGAGCGCGCAGTTCGCGAGGCTGAGGAGGCACTGCGGCGAGCGAACGCGCCAGCACCACCTGCTGCTCCCGAACAGGAAATGGATGGGGCAGCTGTGATCGCGTCTCTCCCAGCTCATGAAAGAACGCAGGTGTGTGCTTCCTGTCTATTATAGCTAAGGCTGAATGGAAGAGAAGTAGTAGTAAAGAAGGGATTGAATGTTCTTCAGGTATTAGCCGAGATGGATGAATCCGAATTACAACGCCTTCCCACCGAGATGCAGGACGAAGCACGACGTGCTCGTGCTAACCTTGAACCAGTAGGATTACTTCATTTCTATACAGCATTTTTCCATCAGTTTCATGGCACGCCTATGATGGGCGACGCTTCAAAGAGGAAACTATAATACTTAAAGGCGGTGGCAACGATTGCTGGGGGCCAGTGATTGTCGCCAACGTCATAGTTGCAAGGGCTGAGTGGGGTGTGACTAAACGCCCTCTCCTAGCACTTCCACCGATGACGCTGGCAACACCGCCCGCCTCTAGCAGTCTTATCCACATCCTTTAAATGTTTGCTATGGACGCTTTGACACCACCCAAAAACGACGGAATTCATTTAGTTACAGAACATTCTTCGATTCCGACATTTGTTGATGCCTTCCTCGGCTCGATCACGAGGTCTTCGATCCAATGTGAATTTGGCTGGTTTTGGAGGTGGATTCGGTGGAATGGGAGCTAACGGAAGCCATGGTGCCGGGAGCAGCGGTACTCCTTCCGTTGGAAGCCTAGCAGGACAAGCGAACACCGCCAGTGCTCAATCACTACAACTTCTATAGATGGATACATACTCATCCTAACGATGTTGGTTCCTGGTGGATAGCCGACTGAGTAATGGCCGACTGCAGAAGGTACAATTCAAATATTCTCTCATTGGAAACGCGATCGCTTTTTTGTTTCGTGGAAGTGATTCTTTTAAAGTGTTGAAAAATGGCCAAGATTGCGCTGTATGGGAGCGTTCCTCGCGATGACGCGCGCTTGACGCACTACAGGGCAGTGCCACCCTTTTGTTGTCCTATACTCCCTCGAGACGAAATGGCAGCGCCGAGTGTTCCTGTATGTCTGCGTTTGTGTCTATACCATTGAGCTGCCCTTGCAGTGGAAGCGCGTCGACGCGCATTACGGGGCGTCACGGCGCGTCATCGCGATGTGTGAACGCTGCCTACCATGTGTGTCAATATGGCTGCAAGGAAATTTCAAAATATGGTCATATCTAGGTTATTCGACTTGCATGTTCGCATGCTAACACGTGTGATTTTGTCATTTGGTGTCTCTTGGCGCTTCTAGAGAAGGCTCACGATTCTGCTCCTGATCATGAGGAGGTCAGTTATAAAGCACGTCACCCCTTACATAATCGCTCAAAAAAATCAGCGCAATTTGCGTATTTTACAGCTGGTATCCGTATGCCCATCATGGCTAGATTCCATAACAGTTTCGGGAGTAGGTCATAACGAGCGTGCGCTGAAGATATCGAAGAACGTTTCCAGAGGTCAGCTCATTTTTTTGCACGTGCTCACAGGCATATTTGATTTTCTTCGGACATACATTTGGATGACATCAGCAGAAAAACTAAGAATTTCAGTGGCTATTCATCCTTTACTCTCGGCTGGACTCTCGAAGAACGTGCTCGACAGTCTGGGTACCATAGCGAAGACGTATCCTGGACATTTCCTTCCATCAAGTCTCCGAAAAACTTCACAACAAAACCAAGCTAAGGATGGAGCATCGGAAAGCTCAGCGGCGCCTGTGCGTGATGCGAGTCCACCACTCGATCTGTTCTGGGAACTTGTGCAGGTACCATGTTGCATTTCCTAGTGATTTCTGCCGCTCTTTTCTGACCTCATCACGTTTTCAGGCATCATCATGCAAATCTCTTGCCGCTAAGGAGGCACGTGAGAGTGGTGAACGTATGTCTCTGGAGAGCTCATACATGGGTCGTCTTATGCGACATCTCAGTAAAAACTTGGTTACTCAAAACGGACAAGTTCAAGATCGCTTGTTGCGCGTTATCAGTACGGTGAGATGATTGTTCCAGTTGGTTCATAAGTTCTTTCCTTGGGTTTGTTCAACAATGATATTCCTGTAGATAGTGCAAACCTTGCCTAATGACACTATGGCACTGTTGGGAAATCTGGAAGGCCCAAATCCGCTTGAAAATCAACTGAAAGCTGTAATCGACGTTCTTATGCGTGGATCATGCAGTAATGAAGGACTTGCTGATGGACGGTCTGTTTTCCTGTCACTTTTGTTTTTTTATGGTTATTATTTCGCTCGAAAGTATAATATTTATATCATTTTGAGTTCACGACTTTTCAAATCAAATTCACGACTTTTCAGATGAAATTTATCACACTCTTTACACTGTACAGTAGTTAGCCAGATCGCACTAGACTATATCGGAAGCCCTGCCCCTTTAGCCATGCACCTTTTGCGTATTTTGATACTTTTCAAAATTTTCTTATTTTCGGGACGTCACATGAAGCACGTGAAGCTCTTCAAATCAGAAGATTTGAGCCTCAACTGTAGCGTCAGTCTCTCCTCTTTACTTTACTGTTAATTACATCGTCATGCACATGTGGTAAAAATAAACAACCCAGACAATGTGAACAAGTCTAGTAACTCCAAACAACAAGAACAGTTAAGAACACTGAAAAGTTGAAGTACATAAAAATAATGGTAGAAGTGTCGATGAAAACATATAAGCATCAAAAAGTGAGAGAGATGCCGCACAACTCGTAAACCCTATCTAAAAGAATCATATCTTAGATATTGACCCACAGCTCTCTTAAAGAGCGAGAAAGATACAGGCACCTGCACTTTCTTGCTGAACTTTATATATTCAGATCCAGCCCTGTGAGTAAAGAAACTGCTCCTTAACGAAGACTTAGGTCTAGGAAGGATAACTTTCAGCCTATGACCCCTAGTGGTGGAAGAAGATAGTTGAAAGAAATCGCGAAAATCAACATCCACTATACCATTTAGTATTTTATAAACCATGAAGAGATCAAATTTGCGTCTTCTGAGCTTTAGGGACTCCAGACTGAGCATATTATTACGTATAAGTCCACGAGGGACACTACTATAAGAGAAACCCAAAGAACGAACGAATAGCTTTCTCGTAAAACTACTTTGAACACGCTCAATTCTATCCACTCTAGGTTTTCTAGCGCGGGAAAAAACACACAAGTGCCATATTCTAGCATAGGTCGCACATAAGTCTTGTACGCTCGGATGAGAATGATAGGATCTTTAGTGCAAAGCGATTTGAATAAAAGAAAAGTCTGTGTTCTGCTGAGTTGGCTATCATTCTACAATGGTCATGAAAAGACAGATTCTTATCGACTATGAAGCCAAGATCTTTCACTAATGAGACTTTTTCAAGAGATATACCGGAAATCGAGTAGACATGATGAGGATTATTCCTACCAAGATGCAGAACTTTAGACTTATGAGGTGATAGCGGTAGTTTCCAAGTAGAAGACCAATCAAGTACAGTACTCATCGCTGACGTGAATCGAAGGAAATTCAGCTCATTCTCCAGAATGCCATAGATTTTAATGTCATCTGCAAACATCATGCAACTAATGCCAAGTTCCTGCACGACCGAAGGAAGGTCATAAACGTATATACTGAACAATAATGGAGATAAGACCCCTCCCTGGGGCACACCGCTAGTGGCTTTTCTAACAGTAGACGAAATACCATTCACTATAACTTGGAAAGTCCGAGAGTGAAGGAATGCCTCAATCCAAGTGATAATCCTAGGATGAATGCGCGATGTGTCAGGTTGTTGAATGGAAGGAGTAAAGAATGGGACACCTTGTCAAAAGCCTTATGAAAATCCAAATAAACAACATCAACGCTTTGCCCAGAATCTAAGGCACGCGTCCACTCATTGAATGTTACAAGCATCTGAGTCTCTGTAGATTTACCCTTTCTAAAGCCATGTTTGGGAGACCGGCAATACATGGTGTGCATTCAGATGACATTCAATCCTCTTCTTCATTATTTTTTCAAAAACTCTACAGAACAGAGAAGTAATGCTGATTGGCCTATAATTTTGCGGATCATGGACAGGGGGTTTTTTCTCAAGGGGAATGACAAAGGAATGCTTCCATCTTCTAGGAATTTCCGCTCTAAAGAAAATCAAATTGAAAAGATACTCCAAGGGAAAGGAGATTTGTGCTGAAACAAGTTTAATGAGTTGGAACGGAACTTCATCTGGTGTGACTGAGGAACAATTCGGCCATCTAGAGAGTAATTCAAAAATTTCACGACGATCAAACCATACCGAGTCTTCCATCGTAGGGTAATAATCTAACAACAATGGAATCTCATCTGAAGAATAGTCAGAATCATAAACATCTTCGAAAACATCAGCTAGTAGATTTGCTCTTTCAGCATCCGATGTAATAATTTCTCCATCGAGAGATTGCAAAAAGCTGAGATTTTTATGCGGTCTGATCTTTTGTTTTATATATTTAAAAAGGGGCAGTTGAATTCTTAGACTCCACAATCTTTTTTTCTACCGAGCAGTTATATTTGAAAAGTTTCCTATCAAAAGCATTTGAAGCACTTCTATAAAGGGCCCAGTCATCCTCAGAATTCGTACGAGTAGCCTTGATGTAGGCATTTGTTTTGCGAATGTAAAGGCATCTCAAGTATGCCGGGATATTTTTCATGGAAACCGGGTACTTCTTTAAAGGAACAAAAGAGTCTAGGCACTGCCTAAGAACAAAAATAAACATTTCATACATCTCATTTACAGACACTGCACTTTGAAAACTACCTATTCCATCACATGCTCCCAATAAAAGAAGTAATGCTAAGCACATCAGCATTTTTGAAATCATGAACGTAAACAAAAGAAGAACTTTTAAAGGAAACATTCAGTGCAAAGTTGACTGCTGCATGATCACTGGAGCCTATAGGGGAAGTTACTTCTAATCGCTTAATCATCTCTGTTTCATTGCAAAACAGCAAATCGAGAGCATGAGATCCTCTGGTAAAGGAATTAACGAACTGGGAAAAGTGATGAACATGCAACATCTGCAGGAAATCGGACGTAACGGAATTTGATGCAGAAGGGGAGGAGTCCCACCGAATTTCTGGAAAATTGAAATCACCCATCAATAAGCAAGATATACTGCAGGAGGATAGATCGCTAAATAGCACTTAACAGTTGGCTTACCTGCATCACAAGGACACTTTGAGTTCGATTAAACTATATGCAATCTGCATTTTACCCTGATGGAAACGAAATCTACAGCTAATAATTTCATACCCGATGTAGGTACAGATTCCTTATAACTAAAACGGATAAGAGATTTTTGCTAAAAATGCACCCTCCTCCTTTCTTCGCTATCGTGCTATCACAGCGTATACCTCGAATATGGAACAAATATGTACCTAAAACACAGAGGCTCCAAGTTATCCTTCTTTTTTAACCAAGTCTCCGTAAGTGCTACCATATCACAATCAAGACTGGAAATCGAAAAAGCTAGGGATCTAGCATTTTTACACACAAGATCTAATGTTTGCTAAGGTGCACTGACTTCATTATCGCGAAGTCCCCCCCACGCGAAAATGAATTCTTCAGTGGTTTGGCGAGTTTAGGGCATCCTCAGAACAAACTACATGCGAAACATCATTTGAATCGACAGCGACAGAGGACACATTTTGATGAGTAGTAATATGAGGAACCGCTTGAACTTGTGAATTCCCATTCCCATTTCTAAGAGCTCTGAGTGAGCGCAAGCGCTCACGCTCAGCTTTTGTTAAAGAGGGTCTAATATAAATCCCAGAGATTGGAAAATGCTTCAAAATAGGTGCCCTAGATAACAATTGTTTCTGAAAGAAAACATTAGGAAGAACTACTTTTAGGAGCCTTGGATAGGCAGAGTTCGGCCTACCCATTCTATAAAACACGGGTGGTGGACATTCGATCGATAAAAAATGGAATACTTTCCTAATGCACTCAAAATCATGGGATACACGAATAGTAGCACTAGGATCTGTAGATTCAGCTATACCAGAGATGACGACAGACCTAATCCGTTCATGTTCTGCACAACAATCTAACGATGTATGAGAAGAAGTAATATTCGAATCATTAGGAACAATTTGTGGACTGGATTTGTCTAAACAATTCCTCAGTTTGTCTAATTCTCTTTTAAGACGCTCATTCTCTGCTTTTTGGAGTTGCACCGTTTCCTCTAATTTCCTGTTGCGTTCGATCAAAATCTCAGTTTCATTACTCTTCTCGAGAAGATGAATCAGTATCGTCTTGACATGCGTAGGAAGAGAGGCATCCGCAGTCAAACTTTTTACAGCATCAGCGAGACAGCTAATTTGACCAACTGGGGAAGATTGAGGTTTCCTTTTGTGCGGGCGCTCCTGAATTGAAAGTGGAGCCAGTGGTGTAACAACATTGGAATGATCCATTATATAGAAATCAAAAATGGACCGAAGAGGGTGGCAAAAAACTCTTCAATTTATCCCTGCCACAAGGATGTGAGCAATCAAGGGAGATCGTGTCGACAGGACGGTAATATCGATTATTGATTACGATCCACCCAGGTCCTATGAAAAACGAAAATCCAAAAGAACGTATCTTGAACGGTGGCTTAGATTTATCAGCAGAATGTACCCTCGCCACAAGGGTGTAGGCTTAACAGAATATTCGGAGTAGAACGAATAATAAGTTAGCACAGTAGCACAACAGAAGCCGAATAGGTAGACTCAATTAGAGAGCCCAGGCTGGCCGCCGCCGCACGCGAGCAATGACAGGCGAGCAATGACTCGTCACTAGGAACGAAAAGAACAGGCAGGTTTTGTACTGTGCCCGAATGAGAGTACTATCTACTAGTTGAGACTCTAACCTGCTAGTTTGTGGCATTTCGCAGAAGTGGGCGGAGTCTATCGCCGTGGGCGGAGCTTTCCACGAGGAGGCGTTAGCGGCCCAAAATATAATTTCGAATAAGGGAGTTAAAATTTTGCTAGAAGGCGCGCAAGCTTGCCAAAAAGGGCGGGGGGCTTAGTAAGCCAGTGTGCATGAATGTCCGTCTAACCTTTGTTCTATGAAAAGTGGATGTGAAATTGAGGATATAGGAAAAAAGTTGTACAATCCTAAACTTTGCAACCGATTAGCCTAAGGTTAAAACGGAGTCGCCTTTCTGCCGGTGTGTCAACACTTTTCGCTTATGTGTGTGCGACATAGCAATAGTCGAGAAAGTTGCAAAAAAAGCTGTTATGAAAAAAATTGACGATCGCGCTAAAAGAGTGGGCGTGCTTGACGGCACGGGGTTGCTGTGGAGCCTCGCGTGGTCTTTGGAATCAATTGTCCCGTGTAAAAAGTGTGGCGAATTTGTTTCGAAAAGTCGTGAACTTCATATGAAAATGGTGTCTGATGTGCTATTGATATCAGATCATCAATTTTTTTAGTACGCTGCTTGTCGAATGCATGCGTGCACTTCCACCCTCCATAACGGATACGGTCTATGAGCAGCTATTCACAGCCGTGCAAAATGTTGGTCTAGAACTACAGCCACAGGTATTTCCCTATTGATACATTTATATGGAACTTTTGCGGTACATTGTTGAACGTTATCGTTATAGATTGAACGGCTCATAGAAGAACTGGGGGAACCGGTCACGAGTGCCGCACCGGAAGATGTTCCCACCACCAGTAAAGCTCCTTCGACAACAACTGAAACAGATTCTGGAGCAGCGGGCTCAGGAAACGAACGTGACAGACGGCTGGCACGTACAAGAATAGGACGTTTAGTGCTCGATGCTGAAAACGGTGGTCGATTTGTAAGTTTTCTGTTTTTTGTAGGTTCTTCCGATTTCGCCAAAAGTTTACTTTCTAGACACTTAGCGCGAGCTCCTGTCCGGAGCTTCAGCTCCCAGCGGTGACTATGCTAACAGACAAATCTGGTGCTCAGTACAAGCTGTTGAGTGCCTTGCAAACATTGTCGAAAATACGTGACACCATGCGTCAGATGAAGGAAGAACGGCGTAAAAAGGAAGAAGTCGAAAAGAAAAAGGTAAGTGTTTTGTGGGGACTACTGGATTCTCATTTATCATCTCCCCTTTCAGAAAGAGGATGAGGCCAAAGCGGCGGAAGCCAAGCAGGCTGGAGAGAACAAAACGATTGATCCTGTTGCGGTTGATGATTCGGCTGCAGCAACACCGGAAACATCGGAAGCATCTGCCGCTCAAGGACCATCAACTCCAATGGCCGCCTCCTCAAGTGCTAACGATGGGGACCAATCTAAGCAAGCAACTGAGGAAACCAACGAGGATGTGGTGCTGAGTCACCGCTTGACAGGCCTTGAAGGTATGTTTCAAATTCTTATAATCTTACTCACTTTCTTTGTGTGGAGGTCCAAATATTTGGCTTTCAAGAGCTCTGGGAGGTTGTATCTACGTGCCTACTCCGTCTTGGAAAAGCGTCGGATCATCATGCAGTGCTCGCACTTCAACCTGCTGCAGAGGCTTTCTTCCTTGTTCATGCCGTACCACGTCCCGCCAGTGCTACTGGTGACCATCACCATGACGATCCCGATACTCTGAAAATGATCGCATTTGCAGGTATTCGCCAATTTGCATATTAATGGCTTCAAGAGGCTAAAAAGTTACGATTGTGCTTCTTTAATTGCACCCGAGTCTGGAAACAATGTTTGTTGACTGGCTGATCTTTCGTTGAATCACCTACTTCGGAGGCCTGAGCAGGGAAATCGATGAGAACTATCCGACCAAATAACTCACTCCCTTACAGAGATTCCCCGTCTTATCCGTCACGTGAGCAACAGGGTGATAAAATTATCGTACCTTACTAGATCTACCTGGTCACGTACGAGTAGCAGAATAAGGACCCGTCGTGCCTTGGGGTTCTTCAGCGAGGGGGTCGTGGAGGGGGGGGGAGGGTTGGTAGAGTGAGGAGGTAGGTTGTATTTCCTTCAGAGATGAGAAAAATGTTTTTTATTATTGACCTTTTATCGTTTTCCCCCGAATCGAGTGCGCTAGATCCCCGCCCCACTCATCCCCCCCTCGACGGTCGATGGACGTTAGTTTTTTTTCGGGGAAATAAGTGGAGGAATTCAGGAAGAAGGTTCGCAAAAGTGGTAGGAAGCTGAGAAAATTTAGCAAGACAGTAGCTAGGATGGAGGAGGGGAAGGAGAGTGGTGGGGTCGATTCGGAGGAGAAAATTTTCGAAGGGGGTCGTATTCTGCAAAATTTTTCCCCAACAGCAGGATAGTACAGGAAGCTTTTGAAGCGGCGGCACTGGGAGTCCCATTCGGAATGCTGGCCTTATAATGAAGCATATCTCTCACGGGGTTGATAGATATTCTCCTCCGGCCGGGGGGGGGAGTTGCGCTAATATGCGCTAATGTTAAGGAATAAGTGTTATTTCCAATCTCGAGTGCGTTGAAAACGCAACAATCGTACATCGCAACAAAACCAAGCTCTAGGGACTGTCAAGCTTCACAGCTAACAATTTATGCCTGCGATTTCATTTCACCACGTGAACTTTCAGAAAAGCACCGAGAAGTTTTGAACCAAGTACTTCGGCAAAACAATACCGCATTGTCACCAGGCGGTCCATTCGCTGCTCTTATCCAGTTCCCGAAGCTCTTGGACTTTGACGTCAAACGGAAGTACTTTAGAAAAGAACTTGGAAAAATGGATGGAGATAGAGGGTAGGAACTGCCACTTTCATTTTTTTAACTCACCAATTTTCTGGTCATATTGTGATTTTGTTTCAGCTTCCGTCGAGCTGACGTTCAAGTCCAAGTCCGGCGATCACAGATATTCTCGGACTCCTTCCGAGAATTGTACAGGCTGCGACCAAATGAGTGGAAACATCGTTTTTACATAATCTTCCAAGGTAGGCATTGCTTGATAGTGAAAATTGGAAATTCCTCCTATTTCCCGTCTACCTATTCCCTTTTGTAGGAGAAGAAGGCCAAGATGCTGGTGGTCTGCTTCGTGAATGGTTCTCGGTGATTACGAGGGAGATATTCAACCCGAACTATGCGCTATTCATCACGGCACCGGGCGACATGGTTACATATATGATCAACAAGGCGTCCTACATCAACCCCGAACACCTTGACTACTTCAAGGTATATCCTAGCATTCAGACTAGAGATTGAAAACGAATTTGTTTTTGCTTGTGAAGAGATGTCGTTTCGTTAACTGCGGATGAAAGGTCGTGTCAGACGGGATAGAATTGGCGCTTTGCCAAACCCGTTTTCCATCAATTGCTGAAACGAGTAAGGGAAAAGACTGCATAATATCGTTCGTATCAGTCATTCTCCCTCAATTGTTGTTGCTTATCCGCTTCAACAACCGGTAGAAAACGGGTAGAGCATCGCCAAACCCTTTCCGCCAGACACGCCCCTTCATCCGTAGCGAGCCGGAGTACATAATTCTCTTTCAGTTTGTGGGACGATTGATAGCCAAAGCTATCTATGACAACAAACTGCTGGACTGCTATTTCACTCGTGCCTTCTACAAACACATCCTCAATCTGCCGGTGCGATACCAAGACATTGAAAGCGAGGTATGTTTACGTACTTTTGGTTGTTTGTTAGTTATTGTGGTGTCATTTTTGTCATAAATAAGCTCTTTGAAGGATCCTGCTTTCTACAAATCACTCGAGTTCTTGCTCAACAACCCCATTGACGACCTAGGATTGGACTTGAGCTTCAGTCTCGAGGTACTCTTTTATACAAGATTAGAAGTTCAGCAATACAGGCGGTATACAGTAGACTTCTAAAAATTGCGCGTGAGTAAAAAGTGTTGGCTCCGCGAGTGCACACAGTTGTGCATAAGGTAAGCCGGTTTAGTTACTCAAGTTTATTAAACTTTATTATACGTTTCGCCATTGACTCGGACCCGGGAGAAGGTATTCGGAATGGGATTAGGGAGCGAGAGCGGCGCTATCCGCCAACCACCTGGCCAGGGGCGATCTAGACGGGGACGAGTGTTGTTGTGTGACTAGCGCCACTTTATACTTGGACTACGCTCGGTTTGAGGTACCGTATAGCGCCTGTTTTCCTCAACTTTTAATCTAATCTTTGTAATTATACTGTAGTTCGCTGCGGACGGTTGGGCGTGTCAGTGCGGCTGCGTTTGGCGCGGTGCCAAACTCGTTCTCCACCAGTTGTTGAAGCGGCAAGCTTCGTATTACTCGTTTTCTACCACTTTTTGTCGCATGCGCGTTTCAACAAGACGGCAGAGAAAGGCTCTGAAGGTGTGAACACTCATACTGGCTGACACGCCCAACCGTCCGCAGCGAACGGGGGTGTACTTGTTTGGCAAAAGCGCAAGTGTAGATCTCTTTCGTTTCTATTTCGGGAACTCTTTTAAAAATGCTCGCGATTTTCAAGGTGGAAGAGTTTGGTGTCCGTTCAATCCGTGATCTCAAACCGGATGGAAGAAAAATCGATGTGACTGATGCGAACAAGGAAGAATATGTAAAGCTTGTCTGCCAAATGAAAATGACTGGTGCGTTCCCACTTTGCTTCATACTTGTAGTTCGTCATCTAAAATTTATTCAATCCAGGTTCTATTCGTAAACAACTTGATGCATTCCTTACCGGCTTCTATGAAGTTATTCCTAAACAGCTGATCAGCATGTTTAATGAACAAGAGTTGGAGTTGCTCATTAGTGGCCTTCCTGATGTGGATATTGATGACTTGGCTAATAATACGGAGTACAAAATGTATACAAAAACCAGTGCTCAGGTATGAAAATCACCTTTTTATAATGGAATTGTCACGACCTTCATCTCATTGCTTTCTTTAAGATTCAATGGTTCTGGCGTGCGCTTAGGTCATTCGAACCAGAAGATCGTGCAAAGTTCTTGCAGTTTGTCACAGGTACCAGTAAGGTGAGTGAACATAAGTGGCTTTTGGTCGTATTCATCTTTTTCTGCCCACTCTTCGAAACCAAGCCATATTTTGTCCGAATTATTCCAGTTAGAATTGGCCATAACTTCGTTTGAAGCGGAAATGCTTACCGCTCGCGCAATAGATCAGTTTGGCACGGACGCCCATAGCGCGTGTACCAGGCGATTTCGCACCAAGTGATTGTGATGGTCGCGTCTAGGAGGATCAGACTTCCGTTTAGGTCAAAGGTGTTTGGTGTTCCAGTTTGCACTTGCGCCGACATTTATAGCGCGGACGCCTGGCGATTTTGAGCCTGGCGACTGCAATATTCTTGTTCACGAGGCCAAACTACCATTGGGGACAGATTCCTAACAAAATCTGCCTCTGCAGAGAGATTTAGATCACAGTGTGGCTTGAATTTCGAAAAGTGGGGCAGTGAGTGTAATTACTGCAGACTATCCTAAGGTGCACGGCTTGGGTGAGGGCATCTCGCACATTTCGCTAGTCCATCGCCGGCTCCTTATAAATTACACGTCACACCTTGGGAGACGTGTCGCTCTTGCTAAATGTAAACGAAGCTTCTGGTGTTGCATGGCCTCACAGAAAGTTACAGGTTTCTACATGAGGAAACGCCAATGATCGATGGTAACCACCAAAATGCCCCACCAGGCCAAACTGTGCCTTATCCGATTATTTCACTACCTTTTCACTAATATGTTTACTTCACAGGTTCCCTTGCAAGGGTTCGCGAGTCTGGAGGGAATGAATGGTATCCAGAAGTTCAGTATTCACATGGATTGCCGTGGTGGTGATCGGTTGCCTGCTGCTCATACATGGTAATTTTTGAGGACTTTTCCCTATTACATTTTCATTCCATCCTTTTGTTATATATGAACGGCTAGTCTGTCTTCTGCCTGTGCGTCTGTCTGCCTGTCTGTGCAGAACTTCGGCATCATCTGAAGAGCCAGTTTGAAGGGCCGAGTTAAGAGTGAAATGCTACAGGACGGGCCAAGATGTACGGAACACACACGAACTGATAAAACCCCGCCCATTATGGGCGGGGCATATTTTCAGCCTGGAGCCACGTATTTCAAAAATTCGATTCACTAGTAGAAAAGCCAGGAGAGTGGAGAAGTGGGAAGTGAGAGGAAAGTAGTCGGCGGACGTTAGGCATACCTGTGATGGGCGTGCTTCAAGAAAACCACTTCGTCTACTGGTTATTAAACAGCTACTTTCTCTACTTATCCGGATTTGTTGTGAAGATTTGAACGGTTTTGTGTACCTAAATTAATCAACTGAAACCAACAAACAGTTGGCGAATACAAATCTACGGTTTCAACTCTTCAGCACACCACAAAGTTGTCGATAATTTACAACAGAGGTGGTATGTAGAAGAATCAGAGAGTGCCTGCTAAGGAGGTGGGATGGGAGCGTGTACGTGCAGCGAATGAAACGGTGGAGTTTGGAAATTTCCAAAAAACATTCCTATTCAATGAAATATATACTCCTTTTTCAGCTTCAATCAACTCGATCTTCCTCAATACGAGTCTTACGAGAAACTGCGTGACTCCTTACTGATAGCAATTCGCGAATGTACTGAAGGCTTTGGATTCGCCTAAATTCACATTTCTGTCTTGTCATCGAAGCATAGGTACTCAATGGTCTTTTGCTAAGACATCATCCTGGTGATTTGTAAATAATGCAGATGATACGATCTATGTACAATTTCGCTTTGTTTTGTCTTCTTTTTTCGGCGGGTTTACGTGCATAAATTCGCATAGACACACTACCTAATTGTATAAGACAAGTTTCCTCTTGTAATATAGGGAATACAGCTGAAAAATGAACGTGAGGTATGGTTCCATTACGTGCATGCAAATGTGATGTTGCTCTTTTGGTCAATTTCAAGTGTCTGACTTTCCGAGGCGCATTTTGGTGTTGCTTTCCGATTAATATACATTCTAGATTGTTATTATTCACTGTATGTACGGTTAAAATGTATTAGAGTAATTAATTGGACCCTCGAACCCAAAATAAATGTTAACTGAAATTTGTGGATAAATTCTGTTTCCGAACACGGTGTTGATGAGCACAATTTATATTGTCACATAGCCATGTCGGAAAGGAAGCGCTTGCGTCTGCACATCATCATATAAACTTTGGTAAGCAGGATTTTTGCTAAAGCAGCGTTCAGACTTCGCGACGGTAGCGCTTCGGTCGCGCGTTCGGCGCGATCGATGCGCATGCTTTCGACTGCATCGATCGCGTCGAACGCGCGACTGAAGCGCTGCCGTCGCGAAGTCTGAACGCTGCCTAAGCGCGACCTCTCCATTTTCTTCCTTGGCCCTACCCCTTTCCACAATAGGCCAATAATCTTACCAAACTTTCCTAAAAGTTTGCTTATGACAAGGGGGAGGTAAAGGTAGTAGGCACTCATGTTCACCTTCCAGAGAAAGTGAGTTTGTGGCGGCGCCAATTGGGTATGCACTGTCTTCTTCGCTGCAGCCATAGGGCGTTTCAGGGCTGGGGGAGGGGGCGGGGGAGGGCTGGTCTTGGCTCGGTGCCAGCCTGTTCTCCACGAGTTGAGTCGCCTGTTAGTTAATACTATTGGTGAGGAACAGGGTGGAGCCGCGCTGAACTCACCCCCTCCCCTGAAACGGCCCTCGCCTCCGCAGCGAACAAGGCTATACAACGCGCTGCAACGAGAAATGCCACAATCAGCTAAAGTCCACCAAGCCCGACCGCTCCTTTATGGCGGCCAGATAAGTTTCCCTGAGGTCGGTGGCGTGGAAATCAGGCATCAATTGATATTAGAGTCCCAGAATGTTATCATACTAATCCCACATGTTTTACGCTTTGGTCTGCTAATTAAGCTAGAGATCACAGAAGTAGACCCTTATAGTGTTCAGTATGCGCAGCTCGATCATAACTCCGATAATGAGAAAACGGAATATACCCATATCAGATCTCCTGAGATCCCGAAAATCATGCCCCGCAAAATCATGGCTTGTAAACTCTCTCGCGCGGATGAAATGACGATCCCGTTGCCCGCCACAGAAAAGAACATTCACTACGGGAATTTTCGCTTCTGCCTTTGAACCAAAAAGGCTTTAATCTGTGAAATCCAGGAAAGCGTTCATACTTTGCGGCAGTGTCTTGAGCGACTGGAAAAGCATAGGTATCAATTGTTATGGTCACAAATGCTGATTGATACGAAACTGCTGTAAGCAAAGGTATCAAACGCCCTCCAACAACACTGAATGACTTAAAGCATAAATACCCTAACAAATAGTCTTCCTATAGAATATGTTTAACGCCCCTGCGACCACCCTAACACATCTAGCCGTTCCCACTTGCCCAACTTACTGATTTGTCTTACCCTTGTGCCACTCGGTATATTTGCTTCAACTTCCAGTAATTCAGAAGATAAAATAGTAACTTTTGCCTTTTTATACAACCACATTCTATATCAGCTTACTGGATCTGCCTCGGTATCCTTCTCAGCATGCTCGGCAAATATGAGTTCTGTTTGAATCCTACCGCAATTGCCCGGCAACAGCACAGCTGACCCGCAGAATTTCGATTTTCATGTCATCGCCCCTAGCTATTCCACGGTGTTTCTTTTTAGAGGATCAGTCATTGATTCACAAAGTATGTTGCTTTGCCTTTCTTCACTTTCGAGAATAACGACTGTACCTTCTTGCACCTAGCGAACGCCTAGTGGCATGCGCGAATCAGCTGAAAAACTTGAGCCAACTGTATAGTGATCTAATACCGCCCAGAAGTAGAACTTCGTACAGGCCCACAGGATAAGTAAAACACCTGCAGTGACATGCCGAGATCGCAAGAAATGCTTATAACTTTGGTCTTGCTGCATGTACCGGAATGCAAGCTTACTATTGCAGGTGGTCATGTGCCGTGAGAGGTTCGCTATCAATGCGAGGAGGTAAAATAACAAAAAACAGGGAGCAGACGAGTCTTCAAAAATCAGTTCTTGAAGAGGTGCTAATAAAGGAGAAGCGAAAACCAACAACCTTCACTGGGAAGGCATGTTTTAAAACTTATTTTCACTATGTGATGTATGATGTGTATGAGTTATGTGTCCTTTATATTTGTGACTTTTTCGTTTTCCGTCAAATGATTCGCCGGAGCATTGGCGAAGCTCTAATGCTCCTCTTGATATGATTTTTCTGCACTTGTTCGGTTCGGTCACGCCCAACGTATAAGACTTGCTTCGCCCTGCGGCACGCTGCTGGCCGTGTAAGAGGGCAGCAAGCGGCTTTAGCGCCCGGCGGCCCATCCACTTTTGCCAGTCCCCCAATCTTGATTGCCCATCAGCAATTCGAATAATTGCCGTAGCAGAAACAGGCTGCCCGCTGTGCCATATCCGCCCAACCACGCATCCGCAGCGAACGAGGCTGTACACGTATTTTACTAAACATGGACAATCTTCGGCTTGATCTACCGCTCTTTGGTGCGCGCAGCGCCCTCTACTTTACGGATTCAAAACCAGGGCACATCGTTGTTGGGAATCCCCAACAGGGGGGGGGTCGTATTTGGTCGCCAGGAGAGGGGGTCGTATTTGGGCTGAGAAAAATTTATTTTGATAGTTGATTTTTCTCGCTTCACGGACGTTGTAAAGGGGGGGGGGTCGTATTTACTTTCTGGCCTTTCTAGGAGTGGTGGGAGTGGTGGTTGACTTTTCGTGATTTTCCTGTTTCATGCGTACTATACCCCTCCCCCTCAACGGCGCTCGATTCGATGAGCGACAGAGGGGGTCGTACCAACATCCAATAAAGGGGGAGGGGTCGTATGGAGTCGACTGAAATCCTCTTATACAATCACTGGCGCGGCCCGCCGAAATAACACCCGGAATTCCTCTCCAGGGGACCTTGTTAAGCCGGACGGGAGCCTATCCGAGCTTTCGACCTCACACCGTCCCATTTCGCCCTTACTGAACAGATGGAACATCAAATTTTGTACCTCATATTGCATGAGTTTTTCAGTAAAAATTTTTCTTATATAGCATTCTTTTCGTCTTATTACCACTACTATCGTGATGTTACTTTCATAGAGTGTTCTTCAGCTTTTAGGTTGCAGAAAAAGCGTCCAATACCTTCTTATATACGGCAGTTGCAGCTGCCATTGGCATGCTAGGTGTTTTTGTTTATCTTTTGGCTGGTGAATTTTTTGCAGAGGATAGCCCTCAAAAGATATACAGTAGGTAGAGTAAGTTAACTTTATCAGTCGTCATACACTAGCAGATGTGCACGAAATTTTTTAGTGCACTTTCCTTAGTGAGAGAAGATGGCAGGTGCCAAGACCTTTTTGGACCCACTATTGCTGGTTTTGGAGAGGAAACATCACGTGGTCGGCGCCGTCACGTCGCTCATCATAAATACGAAAAAGATGGGAGACAACGAATCCGTGTTCTTTTTCATGTGAAGGTGTGATTTTTGTTGAGAATACAGTTTTGCGGATGTAGTTCAGAACATCCTTGCGCGGCAACGTGCGCAAAGGAGCAAATCATTGGGCTCTACTAACCTTGGAGGGGCACACCTGTAATAGCGCGTTCAGGCTTCGCGATCTCGCGATTGAATCGCTGGCGAAGTCTGAACGCGCTCTAATTTCAATGTGTCCCTTGCCTTTCCTTCTTCTTTTGTCTTTTCGCAATCGTCTCACTGTGCAAGTCCTGTTTCTGTCAAGCACCCTGTAGACTCCTGTCAGCCTTGACGAAATGGTACTAGCGTCACTGGTACGCAATTCTCCCATTTTTCTCCCAAATCTCGGCTAGTCACTTTGACATTTTTGACAGGAGTTTACACGGTACTTGGCGGGTGATAAGAAAACTTGCAGGATTTTGACAAAGTTCACGTGTGTACATTTCAGAGGATCTGGTATACTAGCCGACGCTTACAGGTGTGCACCTTCAAGGTTATTAGCACCGATTATTCTCAAGCTGATCGAATTGACACGCTTTAGCGTTTACACTTTGAAACAACTGAGTCCTCATGTGAATTCCGCGCAGGCAGCGTTCAGACTTCGCGAAGACGTGCGTCAATGCGCTGTAACGCGCGACGACGCGCTGCAATGCGATGTAATGCTCGTCGAAGAGCTACAGTTACAACAGCGCTCCAAAG